AACATTGAATGGATTAGGACCCTTCGCAAGGATAGAGTATTTTCAATTATCCATAACACTTATCAACCACAGGAAGGAAAGACATTTCGCTTGGCTCCTAATAAAGAAACTGTATTAGTCGAACTTTGGGATTGGGCCAAGCAAATGTCTTCATTACCTTTTGAGAATCGGAAAAGTGCTTCGCTTATCTGCCATCTCAGAAAGGATGTGCAAGGAATTGTTCGTGCTCTTAAGACTGATTTTCCAGAACTACGGATTAAGGAATATCATGGTAAATCAGATCCTGAGGAAAAGGCTCACGATTTTAGCAATGTAGAAGAATCATGGAAAGACTTAGACCTAATTACCTATACTAGCACTCTAAAAATAGGAGTATCGTGTACCAATCCTAAGTTTGAGCAGGCTTTTTGTCTTTTTAATAGCTACATAGAAACAAACGCAGGAACGAATCAAATGTTATTCTGCATGCAATGTATTAAAGATTATATATGCCACATCGAGCAAAGATCATCTAATGCTCCCATTACAGAAGAAGGGTTATTTCGATGGTTGTTGAATGCCAAACGTGAATGCCTTCCCCGAGAACTTCAGAACAGATGAATATTTCCTGACATATGTAGTATATATATTAGAGAAATTCTGTTCTTATCATTTATTTGGTTGGAGAATGGTTGCTTTTCTCCGAAAGGCGGGTATGGTAATTTCTATCATAGAACTTATACCTAAACCTAAAGATAATACGATATCATTATCTCAAACAGTAAAGGTGAGTTCATCTATCATTAAAACGGAGGAGATAGCAGATGTTTCCAATGCTACTATTATCGATCGTGAGACTGCTGAATTTTTGGAGAATAAACCAAAGAAAACTTTAGAAGAGATGTGGTCTTTGGACCAACATCACATTGTAGATTGCTATGAGATTTTGTCTGAATCATTGACTGAGGATTTCATCTCGAAATATGGGAATTTCAATTATATAAAATGGTTTAGAGCTTATAGGCAATTACGAGATGCTGGTACTGATAATGTAATGGCTGTTGAAGCTATTACCCGTAAAGATTATAGAGAGGATAGACTTACAACTGTGACACGAGCTGAGAGACATAGTGTCTGCTTGGAATTGTTAAGAAATTGTACACCCGTTAAAGACATTGACGATAGGGTACGATATAAAGCTGATGATGTCAAAACACACATAGATTCTCCTGAATCAATATCATATCTCCAGGATTTAGTGCCTAAAATGGCTCGAGTATTTGATAATACAGATGCAACGCGTAGTGCTAAAAAATTGGGACTAAAAACAATTCGGGCAAAACTTGGTTTACTGAACTCAGCATTTTACGCAACGTATGGGTTGAAATTTAAGGCTATAGATAAGAATCGTAGATATTATCATCTAGTAGGTTCATTCGATAGTAAAGACGCTCCTAGATTACCTTCATATCAAACGGGTGAAGAAATTTAT